ATGTTAAAAAGCCTTTTAGTTTAATTCAACTTTTGAAATTTAACAAGAAAATAAAATATTTTTATAGTGGCTAAGGGCATTTATAAAAATTGTAGCTCTAAAAGTGCAAATAAAATAGATATTAATAAGTAGCAGTAACTTAAATATTTTTATTAGCAGTGTTTTTGAGCTACAGCGAGTGGAGAGCGAAATCTAAACATCTGCAAAATTACGCGCATAAATCCTTTAACACTTTTCCTTCGGCCTGGACACTAGACAACCCATTGTTGGGGTTGCATTTGCCACGCGGGGCACCATCAAATTAGCCCACTTCAGGGTCGATCCTGCTGCGTGCCCTCTGCTCTCTCTCTTTTCGCTCGGGACTCAGAACTCATTTCTCATAGCGGGTGCAGTGCAGCATATCTCATTGCTGCATTGTTTACACACTTCATACTTGCTGGGGTGGGGAACTGAGAGGGCACACACAAAAAAATTATTTATGGTGAAGAAATAGATTTTTGTAAGCAGAAGAGCTCTTAAATATTTCTAGGTAGTTTTTATGAAACACCAAAAAATAGAATTATATTGTTATATATCAATTTATATTTTTATTTAAATTTCTGATTTATCATTTCTAAAAATATTTAATCCTTTTAAAATCTTAATCGAATTTCAAGAAAGTGTCTGTTTGAGAAAAAAAGTGTTTTATAATGGGAAACTATGATTTCATGATAGTTTCTCTCAGTGCAGAAGACGCGTGTAGTGTTGACAGTTTACGAAGTTCTTGCAGTGTTGCTCCAGCAGCTGCAGCGGTGTCCTTCTCGTGCCTGGATGCCTATGAATATATCTAGGGAGCAGACCGGCTCCTACTACTAAACCTCCTGACTGCCGACCCCTGCCAAAACAAACAATGACACCACCCGCCCCATCTGGGCAATTTCCCCTTGACTGGCCGCCAATAGTCGAGCTGTTGAGTTAGAGTAAATGTTTCCATCTAATGACCCCTATCCCTATTCCTGCTGCGGGCTCCGGAGATCCTGAGGCATATTTTCAAGCCGTCTTGTGCGGTTTCTTCGACTGGGTTTCTTTCTTACCGCCCGGCACTTACCACTTACCACTTTCCAATGCCAATGTCTGTGTTGGCCGCCCTTCGTGCCTCTCTAGCGCTTATCATGCTCAAATGGTAATTGAAGGGCCATAGAAAAACTATTTATCCTGAGGCTGCCGAGCGTGCTCTCGTCGTTGTTGTTGTGGTTATTCAATATTACTCAGTCGTTGTCCATTGATAAAGGGCAAAAGGTAAGGAGAGAGGAGGGGAGAGCTGAGCAGGACAGACACAATGGATGCATTGAACCCAAAGCCGAATCAGAATCTGAATGCCAACCCAAAAAATAAATAGAAGCAAACCCGAGCACTACCCTTTGCCATTTGTTTTCATTTTTGGTTTCCTTCGATGTTTTATTAAATTTGTTTCCAGTGCCCCGGCATTATCCTCCCCGTTCGACGAGTTATATGACAATTTCCACTTTTTGCCATTGTCGATTTGATTTTATTACCTCGCTCTCGGTTTTGTCTGTCCACTTCGAACTTATCGAGTGTATAATGTTGTCATCATTATGCCGATTAGTGGATGGGTTTACGGTTTTCTGCTTTGGGTTTTTGCGAGCACTCGCCGCTTGCCAGTTGTCAAGGCTAATTGAATTTTCGCTTTGCTGCGTTTTACTGTTGCTATCTTGCGGATACGGCCGAACTACTCGTACCTCTATCTATCTTTATGGCGGCCAGTAAACCATAATTTCGCCACAGCAGTGGCCAGGATACTATGAGCGATGGGCGGACGGGACCCTAGCCATTAACGTTATCTCGCTGATCCCCCGTCCAATGGGTTTTACGGCAAAGGATTAATTATGCACACGCCTCCGAATTGTAGTCGATTGCCGTCATAAAGCCAGTCATTCGGAGGTGGACTTTGAGCGACTGCCGTGAAATAGCCGTAAATGTTTTATTTGGCTGGATGGTGGATGGGGTTTTAGTCTCTGGCATTTAGCTTTGCATAGGAAATTAATAAAAGAAATATTCTTCCTTCGTGAATCTGCCTCTCGAATACCATAAAACCAATTATATTAATTATTGTAATCAATTAAGTTTGTAGAGATATGTATTTATTAGAGATTATAGTGAGACGCAGCCTTTCTGTTGTCGATCTTCATGTGAATAACTGTTAAAGGTTTTATTTTAAAAATCACACTTTAACAGTTATTTTCTGATTTGTAAAGTAAAACTCAAAGAAGACCTGTTATTTTTTGAGTTTTATAATAAAAGTTGACAAATAACAGTTATTCGTCGTGATCAAAAATAAAATCAAACTTGATTTTTGGCGATTTTGTGGGTAAAATAAATTTTAAAAAATATAGTTATAAAATATGCGCGGTTGCCTTTTTAAATAAATTTGTAGTAAGTTATATAAAACATGGTTAGCATGTTTTTTTAATTATTTCATTTTTTCAAAAATGTCAAGGGAATAACTGTTATTCATAAAAATCAACCAATAACAGTTTTTTTTTGAGTTTTATTATAAAAATCAAAATATAAAAATCATTACGGATTTGTAGACTACAATGGCTAATCAAAATAGTGGTGTATTTAAAAAAATTTTATGACGTGATTTTTTTGTAAGAAAAATTAACAATAACAGTTATTTTCGGTCCCTGTTTTTGTGATTTACATTCAGATCTCGAAAATTGCCTTCCTAAACTTCTAATAATTGCTTTAAATTCTGCGCACACTTGGCACCGACTTTGTTTTGTGGATGCGGATCGGAAAACACATTCCCATCAGGTCGGGGCGGATTGGGGAAATATTCGTGCAGCAGATACTTTTTCGCTGCTTTGTTATAATTCCGCAGCAAGTGCGCACATTGCTCCTGGCTCGGCGGTGCTTCTTTCCTTTGTGCCAGTCGAATTCGGTAAATAAAGTTTTCAAAGTTGCACAAACTGCCGGCAACAGCAATCCGCAGCGAGGTGAAGTGAACCGGAGCATCGGAAAAGCGGAAAAACAAGGCGAAAAAGAAGCTGGCGATGCCAATTCCTTGTACAAGTGCCGCTCGATGCCAACAAGTTTTGCGAAAATTCTCCCACTTGGCCAACTGGCAACGGGCTCCTTTCCAGGTATCCTAAGCCAGCGAAAACATATCCAAGGAAGGGACGACTCTTCGGCCCAGAACTTCCACGGCTGGCAGCCCGCTGAGCCAAAGCCTAGTCTTAAGCCGAGGACCAAACATGAAGTTACCAGGAGGTGGCCAAAAAACGGAGGATGAAAGGGGGGACCAAGAAATCCAGCTTCGACTCCAGAAACTTTTATGCACAGCACCATGTTTGGTTTGTCTTTCCAGCTTCCGCTTTTCTCCTTACCGCTTGGCTTTCTCCTTTCTTCCTTTCCCCCTGTGGATGTATGGGTGTGCGGGTGTGTGAGTGTGGGCGTGTTTGTGTGGGCGGATAGTTGGCTTTGGCCTTTTTGGGGCGACGGAAATGGGGTTTCGGCCTGGTGGCCTGTCAGTTGTCGGTTGGCTTTTGAAGCTAATACAGGGTGACATTCTCACTATCTCATAAAATAAGAATGGATGCTAAAAATATTATATTATGAATTTTAATGTAGTAATTATGATTAATAAAAATATTATTTGTTTAAATATTATTCTTTAAAAGTAGTTACAATAATAAGATTTTAAACACAGAAGAATATGTATTGATTGTAGCTAACATGTTAAACACAGTTAAGACTTAAAACTTGCAATTAAAAACATGTAACTCAAAGCTATCGAAAGGGACAACTTATGTCTGAACTACTCGATGAACTAAATAACCAATTAAAATATTAAAAAATATTTTTAAAAAAACTTTGAAAGTTCTTTCGAACTAAAAACGTTTTTTAAACAGATAAAAAGGACCAACTGTGGAAAATCTCTACTTTTAATAGAACATTTTTTAAACTTGCTCCAATTTAAATTAAAAACGTTCAGTGTTACCCTAATAGTCAGTTTAAACCGGGTTTCTTTGAAGAAAATAAACCCTGGAGGGTTCCTTTTCATTATTGAATAGGTTAATAAAATGTAAAGGATTTCTTTCGCAACAAATTCTCTTCTTGTTAATCTTTAAATCTTTAAAATAAGACTATTAAATTACTTCCATTGATATTGAGAAACACCCTTTCCCAGCTTGTTTATCGCCAACTTTTTGCACCCACAAAAAGTAAAATGCAAGTGCAAAAAAGCGCAAAAGAAGACAAGGCCATTGTTTTTTTCTGCCTCTGCTCAGCGGATGTTGTTGCAGTTGTTGTTGTTGCCGGTGTTGTTGCTGGCATTCTGGTCCAGTCGTGCCACTCAAAGCGCCAACAGCAGCAGCAACAACTCAAGGAAATTGTCGCCGTCGAGCGGCGAACACGCCAAAGTTGCCGCGAGTGCAAGTGCAAGTATGTCTTTGTGCCCCATCGGCAGCAGCAACAGCAACACCAGCAACAACCAGCAGCAACACGCCCCCTGAATGGCCGCCCCGAAAGCCAACTTGGTCTAGAATTAAAGCCAAGACACCAGGGAATACAAAGAATATAAAAAGAAAAATGCGTCACTTCCCCTGCGCACATGCGTAATGGATTAAAATGGACGCCGGGGAAATCGCCAGCCAATCGCAGAGAAGCTGAGGTGTGGCCTGCGTTTTGCGAGGGATTTCCTCTCCGCCAGAATTTCCCTCGCTGCTAATAATCACTTGAGACATGCGCTCTGCGAGCGGAGAGGGGGTTGCTGCAACCCTTGCACCGGGGCAACCCCTGCCGTCACGTGCAACAGCAACGGCTGTTGGTGTTGCTGCTGTTGCCGCGGGGACATCGGCAGTTGTTGCTCCGTTGCTTTTGTAAACAGGCGCAGGCGCACTGCGCGGGGGTACATTTCAGCTGGGAATTTTTTTCGTCGAAAGGGCAAAGTGAAATGCTTTGATTTCGCTGATTGTTCGATCACACGCCAACTGACAGCGAACTCGGCTGGTTGTCCTCGCTCCCGATAAACGGAAAGATAAAATAGAAACCAAAGCAAAACTAAACAGCATATAAGCGAAGTAAAAATAAGCAAAGACTCGATTTTGAATTTTCGTCTTTCGTGTTTGTGTCGCGCGTGTTTTTGTGTGCAGTGTTGCATGTGGCTCTTGGAGACTCGAAACTTAAATAAAAACTAAGCAGTGCTTCGTGTGGGAACTTGTATAAAATGCTGGAATTTTACCCAATGCCCACGAATCTGAATCCAGTCGGTGGCGGCTTGTACTCGCTGCAGCAGAATCATGGCGGGGCTCGCTTCCTGGACAATCCAAATCCCGGCAGCAGCAGCAGCAACTCCCTGCACCTCAGCAACAACAATCTGCCTACGAGCATTTCCGGCAACAATAGTCCCTCGGGAACGGCTTCATTAACGGGACAGCAGCAGCAGCAGCAGCAACATCAGCAACACCCCCACCAGCAACATCAGCAACACCAGCAGCAGCAACACGCAGCCTCGACCACGCCAGTGCCAATTAACAGCTGCCCCACGCCCACAGGACACAGCCCCCTTAGCAGCAGCAACAACAACAACAGCAACAATAATAACAATAATAGCAGCAGCAGCAGCAACCTCAACTCCGCCTGCAACACATTAACAGCTGCTGCTGTTGCTGCTGCTGTGGCAGCTCCATCGGCAGCAGCCACCTCAGTAGCCACCTCGCAATTAGGCGGAGCAGTTGCTGCTGCCATTGCTGCTGCTGCTGCTGCTGCCGCTGCGACGACAGCAACATCGACGGGGCCCGCGGCAACAGGAAACGGAAATGGCAATGGAGCGGCTGCAGCAGCAACGATAGCCTCCTCGGCAGCAGCGGCATCCAAATTGTCTGCCGATTGTAGTGGGCGCACAGGTATGTTCCAAAAGTATTTTGCACCGGCAGTCGAGGCATTTACCGGCTCGTTCCGTTTCTGGGGTTTTCACGCTTTTCGTTTTTGGCATAGTTGCGTGTTGGCCGGACGAGGCTCCAGATTGTGTCCGACCGCCCACACCTGGATATGCCGGCTGATTGCGTGCGATTTCCTTGGGCCTTTGGGGCCGAAGGAATGCTGCCTTTGGGGGGTAAATACAGGGCTTCCTTGATTTTTATTCAGCGATAAAATTTAAAGTATTTATTGCGAAGGGGTTTCTTTTTTTTACTGCAGAAGGGATAAACTTTAAATTGGTTATTTAAATGTTTTAGTCAAATGTGCGATAGGTTAACCGCAAGGACATGTTAAACAACTATTCTACTAATTTTTAGAAGTCCTATAAAAATATCCAACATTTATTTAATAGGTATTTGTTTTTGTTTGCTAACATTTTTGGAAATTAAATTTTGTATACATTTTTTCTGCATAATTTCTGTATAAACAGTTATTGTTTTACGAAAAATATAACATCCCTTAAAGGAGTTTTAAAAATATTTCTAGAACCTTTTATTTAATGTCAATTCATAAACTGCTCTTTAAACTCACTTAACAGAAGAAAAGTGTTTTCTTTTTATCACAATTTTATACTAATAATCATACAGATTTTATTGGATTGTATGCATAACATTTTTTATTAATTTTGCAGTATATTGGACTTTGCAAGAACCATATTAACATTATATTAATATTTACTTACAACCGTATTTGGTTAAGGACTTAATTAAAACTCGGATCGCATTTATGCGAATTAAATAGCCAGAGGTAGATTTTCGGTTTAATTTTGTTTTTGGCCTTCAGAGGCCAGGCAAATGAAAACAGTTAAATGCGAATTCACAATTTCTGGCTTAAACGCATATTGACAGAGGACAATAAATTATGAATTTCTGATGTCGCACACATGTTGTGGATAGTTTAGTGGGCGGATGTGTGGGACGGCGGACGAAAGTATTTCCAAAAGTATGAACGCAAGTTGACCACAAAATAATTTTGACAATGAACCTGGCTGACATCCGCCCGGCCAGAGGGCGTGGCTCGACCAATAAAAGGCTATTAAGGCATGCCACATCCTCCCACCCACACACACACTCACACTGAAGCTTCGGCATGCAGGCACACATGCACATGCACGACAGCCTCAAAATAGGCAACACTTTTCAGCTTTCGGCTGCAACGAAAGTGTTGCTGGGAAAACTTTTGCGAATTTCCCTCCGAAATGAAAAGTGTGCAAACAATGTGTGTGATGCATATGCAGACCAGACCTCGTCCGAGGCTAAGTGGATTGTGTTTTTGGTTTTTTAGGGGCTCTCGAACACCACTCACCCACTTCCACCCATAAAACTGCTGCTCTTTTGCCGGCAAACTTTAGATTTGCCTATGAAATTTCTATTAATACTCGCATTCTGCCGTTTGCCGTTTGCCATTGCCAAAATGGCAAAATGGCAGCAAATAGTTTCCGTTTCCGATTCCGTCGCACTCGAAAACTCCACTCTCCTAGGCAAACACTTGGCCAACGACTGCTAAACTACTATCAATGCCCCCGCACATTTCGGAGAGGTCGAGGAATTTCGAACGGGCGAGCTTTATGGGTCTGGGGATCGGAGGGCAGACCACGGAAATGAGCACACTCAGTGTCAGGTATTCCACCGAGCGTATCAGCATACATATCTGGCTTCTGCGGCGGCTTCAACTTTGCCCGTCGTCAGCAGCTACATATATTCCTCAGCAGGAGTAGGTGTGCATTTGTGTGGCGGAAGTATGCCCCATACGCATAGCTCTATGTCACTTTCCATTGAGATCCAGGTGCAGGTACACTGGAGTAAAATGCTCGTCTAGTATCAGAAAGATTCTATTATTTTTATATTGCCACATAAAAACATTAGAAGCATTAAATCATATAAAAAAAGTAATATAAATCATTGCAAATCTTTAAAACACGAAAATGATTAAACATTTCTAATCACAAATTATACTATCAATGAATGTATTTTTAAATGCACATTTAGTTTTCATATATAAAAGAAGTGTACTTAGACTTTCAGCTTGGTAGATGGTATCACTTTTATGCTACCCCTAAGTATTCTACTATTTTCAACCACGACTGTTTGAAATAAATTCAGTCAGTTAGTCAAAATTTAAGGCCATAATTATTTGTAACTAGTTTAAAAAGTAAATCTATGGTTTTATTAAGATTTTCAAATATTTTTTAGCTATATACATAGCTTGATAAATGGTTTCACTCAAATGAATGTCATATGATAATAATTATATGTAACTTCGAGTGCTAGTCAAAAAAGTAAATCCATGATTTCATTTAAAAATTTTTCCAATGTGTAGATAAATACTACGAGTTTTAAATAGCCAGTTTGTCAGCCATAATTAAAGCTGTCCCATTATGAGCTGTCTGTCAACGACGAACTGCTGCCAAAATCTGCGTGGCACGTGGACTGCGGCTATATGGCTGACATGGACTCCAGTTAGCGGCCGAATTAATGCCAGGAGTTCGGCGCTGTCTCCCAATTTATCTCCATAGACCTCCGCCTGCCTGTCAATGTGTCAATAAATGCACCATATAGTCCGACAATCGAGGGGCGGTCGGCAGATAAGCCCCTTTATCGCCGATAACAGCGCCGAGGACACTTTCGTCTATTAGTTGGTTATATTTTTTTTTTTTTTTTTCGGTTTATCATCGAGTTGATTTTGGATTTATCTGCTGTTTAATCTATGTATTTGACACGAGTGTGCCGCACTTGTACCAACTGTTTGTGCTTGTTGTTTGTTGATTTTTGGACAAGTTTCGCCAAGGCTTGAATGGAAACTACCCCCACTCCCTAGACTAGAATAGCCCAAAAACAAAGCGTCCTTTGTTAGATGAAACAAAACAGAAAAGCTGCAAGTGCAACTGCGAAATGCCATAAATTTCGATTAGATTACACAAACGAAATCCCGTCACAATATCGATGCTCAAAGCTCCAGAAAAAGTGGCAAAAATTCAAAACGCAGCGCCCCTCGGGGCTTTATCAAATGAATCATTCTCGATTTTGTGTTTGGAGCTGCAAAAACCTTTATCGCCAATGCGATTCGATATGAAAGCCGCACAATGGGATAGAATTGGCAAAAAAGAACCCCGAGGACATTGTCAACTTTCCGCTGCACTAGCTTAGCACACAAAGCGCTGGCGCCCCCTTATAGAGGGATTTTCGTCCCTACTCCCCGACTATATATAACCCACACACGCGTATGTACATCTGCATAGATACTGTGGGTGTGTGTGTGGGGACGCCATTGTGCCAACCATAAATCATGCACATTTTTCTGCCACTGAGCCACAGCCATATAATATAACACCACACTCCCCACTTTTCCTCTTTTCCAACCCCGCCCTCTTCCACTTTTCCCCAACTCGCTGCTCATTTTTCAAATGCTTCCATACATTTTTCGTGGCGGTCGTCATATATTTTTTATGTTTACTGCAGGCAGCTTTTGTTGTGTTTTCGGGTACTACTTTTTATGACTGGTTTACAGTTTCAAGAGCGCTCGTCTACGGGCGGGAGATTAGGGGCGTTCTACTTTGGCAAAGGAACTCCTTAATAGGAGATTACCAGCTTAAAAGGGTCTCAGTTTGGTTGCTTTAAAATCGTTAGCTTATGCAAAATCAATTGAGCCGTTTTAAGGGCGGAATTTACAGATAATCGAACTAATGCTGTTCAATAATACCAAACAAATACAGCAAACTTTACGTTTCAATTACGCATCAGCAAGCTTTCAATACAAGCTGTTGCAGCCCGGCGACAGATAATTTTTTCCCTCAAGAGTTTCCTTCTGCTTTCCACCGAAGTGCGAAACAGCGAACGGAAAAACAAGAGAGACGTTGAAGCATTTTCACACGATTCGATTGTCAGCGCGGTCCTTGCGCCATTGGCAGCACATGTCATGATAATTTCGCAGCGACATGTGCTGCCAGCACGTATACGCCACGTACGCCCATCACAGGAGGTTGGGGGAATAACGAATAAGCGACGCTACACTTGGGAAAAAGTTTTGTAAATTCAGAAGCCAAAAAAAAAAAAATATATATATATATACACACAAAAAATTTGCTTGGTAAAATTGACCAACAAAGATAGTTATGTAACTATTAAAATAGTTACGTGTATTTTGTTTTTGCTTTGGGTTTGTGTTTTGCTAATTGTGTGTATTTTGTTGTTGTGAAATGACTATTTACTTAGTAGAATTGACATTTTGCTGGTTGGGGCCTTTGACAATTATTACAGTTATTTTACTAAGTTTTTTTGTGTGTAGGTATATATTTTCCATTTAGAGAACACTTAATGGGTGTTTTAGGTTCCCACAATTATTTTTATTGCCTTGAAATATTTAATAATATTTTAGGAAGGTTTAAAATCCTATCGTAATCCCTAAAATATAAAAAAGATATTTTATTTAACAACTAGATTTAATGTAATAAATTTGTTTTTTGATTTCTTAATGGAAATAAGCTATCAATAATAATACTAAAAAATTATTTCAATTTTATACCTAATTTATATCAAATATTTTCCACCTTGATTAAATTGTTTTAAAATTAAATTTACAATTTAATAAAAATGCGGAATTTTGAATTTCTACTTGTATTTTTCCTAAGTAAACAACTTTGAAAACTTTATTATAATTTAAGAATCCAACGAGTCAACAACTCCATTTTTTCGCTCAGTTCATAAGCTATATAAAATCGATTCGGCGACTTACTAACGCGACTTTCTCCCCTCCCATTTCTTTCATCCCCAGAAGTGGGCCACATCAAGTGCGAGAAGAACTTCGAGCTGTGCGAGGGCTGTGGCCAGAAGATCCACGACCGCTTCCTGATGAACGTGGGCGAGGCCAACTGGCACGAGCAGTGCCTCGCGTGCTGCTACTGCGGGATGCAGCTGCACCACACGTGCTATGTGCGCAACTCGAAGCTGTACTGCAAGATGGACTACGACCGGCTGTTCGGGGTCAAGTGCTCCTCCTGCTGCCATGCGATCCTGCCGCAGGAGCTGGTGATGCGTCCGATTCCGAACTTCGTCTTCCACCTGCCCTGCTTCGTGTGCTACGCCTGCCGGCTGCCGCTGCAGAAGGGCGAGCAGTTCCTGCTGCGGGACGGCCAGCTCTTCTGCTATCGCCACGACCTCGAGAAGGAGATGTTCCTGGCCGCCGCCGCTGCCCAGCACTGTGGCTTCGTGGGCCTGGACGAGGAGGATCTGCTGAGGCCGCGGGATGGGAGGAGGGGTCCGAAGCGACCCCGCACCATCCTCACCTCGCAGCAGCGCAAGCAGTTCAAGGCCTCCTTCGACCAGTCGCCCAAGCCGTGTCGCAAGGTCCGCGAGGCCTTGGCCAAGGACACCGGACTCTCGGTTCGCGTGGTGCAGGTGTGGTTCCAGAACCAGCGGGCCAAGATGAAGAAGATCCAGCGCAAGGCCAAGCAGAACGGCGGCTCCGGCGGCTCGGGCTCCGGCAGTGGGCGTGGCACCGGCGGCAATTCGAGCGCCACCGATGACAAGGACACCAACGAGAAGGAGGACAAGTGCGTCAAGCAGGAGCTGGGCGGAGACAGCTCCGGCTATCTGGGCGGACTGGACAGCACCTTCGCCAGCCAGCCCCTGAACCCCAACTTGCCCTTCTCACCGGATGGTAAGTTGAAGCGACTGGGTGACTTTTATATATCGAACTAAACAGCTTTTAAATTAATCTACTAAATTCACTTAGATCCAAAATCAAACTAAAATTGTAATTTAACTTAGTCGGGAATTTAGCATAGTATTGATATTGGTTATTGGATTACATTTATATGTTTAAAGAAAGATTTGCCTTTTCATATTATTCAGTTTATAATTAAAAATGCGACCCTTGTTGATTAATATTTTAATATTACTTAAATTTAAATTCAAGAAGAACGAAAGTATGAGCAGTAGACTACAATTTAAATATATTAAAAGATATTATTTCGTTTTTATTATACTAAAAAAATATCTAAAATGTTTTACCAAATATTTTGAATTTTAATAACAAATAAATATAAAACATTTCTAAATTACAAAAATATATTTTTCAAAAAGATTAAAATATTCTTGAAATTATTAGAAATTAAGTATTAGTTTTATGGTTCGATATAGACAAGTTTCACTAAATCCCAAGGTTTAAATACTAATCGATTTCTATTTCACAGACTATCCGGCCAACTCGAACGACAGCTTCTGCAGCTCCGATCTCTCGCTGGATGGGAGCAACTTCGACCAGCTGGACGACGACGCGGACTCGCTGTCGCTGAACAACCTGGAGCTGCAGTCGACCAGCTCCTCGGGCAACCAGCACTCGCACTCGCATTCCCACTCCAATCCCCACGACATGCTGGCCAACCTGAACAACAGCCTGATAAACCCCATCGACAAGCTGTATCTCATGCAGAACTCGTACTTCAGCTCGGAACATTAGAGGGCACCGAGGAGGCGGTCAATGGATAGAGACGAATTTATTAGCGTTAGAGTGGCAGGATCCGATCGGAAAGGACTTGGACAGATCCTTGCTGTTACTTTACACGTAGCGCGTAGTTTGGCACCTTCGAGGCGGCGGCATTAAGTTGGAGTTGTAGAACCAGATACAAGATACAAGATACATGAAATGTGATTTTTTTAAGCTAATTGAAATTTTAAGATTCTTGGCGATTTGAACGCGACGAAAATGGAGCGGGCTGTACTTTTTGTTGTTAATCTAGACTCTAGAGGCAAAAAATGTAGTACACCCGCAATTGTAAAACGGTCAATGTGCCCCCCTTATGTTTGTAAATAGTTTTAACCACCCCAAAAAATTGTTATTAAATGTAATTTAAAGTCAATAATTGTATTAGCAAGTGCAATTTAATCTGTTCCCCTAAAATATACATCTTAACCGAATTCTTGCGAAATTCTGTGGTTTTTTTGTTTTAAGCTGGGAAAGTAACTGAGAAAAACTCTTCAATCGAGTGAGAAGTGAATGGAAATGTGGTACCAGAAAAAAAGTACGCATCTATCAAATCCTAAAACTTTTTTGTTTTTTGGTCGTAGTTCTGCTAAAATGGGTGCCAAAGCTAAAAGAAGGAATGTTTTGTAATATCCATATTTAACGATCTACATCCAATTACATTAATTTTGACAATTTGTTCCTTTATTATACACAAAATACTGTTTCTTTGCGGAAAATTAGGTATTTGGACTTTTTGTTTGTCATAAGCCAATCGTTTGGGAATTATATTATGAACTCACCATGATTTAAGACAGAATTTGTTTAAGCTCTTTGTTTGGAAGGTAAAGAAGTGGAATGTGTAATTCAAAAGGATTACATACGAAAAATGCTTGTAGAACTAAAGACAGCGAGCTATTTGTAAATCAGCTACTGCTTTGCACATTGCACTATGGTTTTTTTCGCGTTTTTTTGGCATAAAGTCAATTTTTTTTTTTTGTATCTTAAAATTTGTTTTATTTTTAATTTTTAAACACCCTAGACAAATGAAAAACAATGTAACTTTAACATATGGAGCAACACTGCTCTGCTGGCGAGCTGTTAAAGTCAGCCAATTATGTACCACCTGTTTTGAATGAAATTGGCGAGGAAAATTGTGCGACTTTGATCGTTTGTTGTGACAAAAGTTTACGAAAAGTTAAATGAATAAATATGGAAAACGATTGTCCAGGTATTTAAAACTAAAGTTGACCAATGTTTGTGTCGTTGTTTTGTGTTTTTGTCCAATTGAACCGAGAATCTATTAACCAAAGTGTGCAGATTAATGAGAAACTAATTCTTTTTGTCCGAATCCACACTTTTTCGAAAAAATCAAAATTTTCTAGTACAATATGTGTTCAGTCGTGCTGAGCTGGTTAACACTTGTAACAACATCAACAAAATTTGTAAAATGTATATTTACTTTCAGAATGAATCACTAATAATGGAGATGGATACTAAAATGTAATTTTTTTTTCATTAAATATGAAGAAAATAAGAAATAAAATTGTTTAATGGATCTTTTTTGCATGTCGGCCAGATCGGTTATATGACAGCTATATGAAATAGTGCTTTAAATAATTTGAAACTTGGTAGGTCATCTTAGGAGCTTTAAAAATGTATAAAAACCAAATATCAAAGCATTAGCTTGATAAACAAAAAAGTTGGGGCAAATCGGCCAGATCGGTTATATGGCAGCTATATGAAATAGTGCCCCAAATCATTTGAAACTTTGTAGGTCATCATGGGAGCTTAAAAAATGTATTCAAACTAGACATCTGCATGACTGGAATCAAACAGGCTTTGAAATGATTCCATTCGAATAGAATAGAGTTGAGTAAATGCTCAGCACACTATGACTAGAATGGATTGCATCTTGGTCCGTATAGAGTATGACAGAAAAGGCCTAGAGTTAAACGAGTGATAACGAAAACAGAATGTCATATTTGAATATGCTGAAATCATTCGAGTTATTCGAATCCATTCGATTTTCTTATATGACGTCATAGGGCAAAATAGAAAATTAAATTTGTTTTGTTTTTTTTTGTATGTCTTAAATAAGTATTTTTGTGATTTCTTATTTTCGAAATTACCAAGCTCCTTTTAGTTTAAACTCAAAACACATGCAAAAATCCACGAGAATTAAAAAAAATATGGAAAAGCAATTAGTTTAATGAACATATCCCAGAACCAAAAGATCCGCCTCTATCCCCACAGATAAAGAAAGGAATGGTCTTCCTTGGACCGCGACTTCTTAGTATTGTCATCCTGGAGTTTGTTAGATAAATTCTTAAGAAGTTGCGGTCCAAGGAAGACCATTCCATTCTGCCTCTTCACTACACTATTTTGTACTTCTCCTCCTTGGTCCGCGAATTCTTAGGATTTGCGGTAGAAGGAAGACCATTCCTTTCTGCCTCTTCACTACACTATTTTATACTTCTCCTCCTTGGTCCGCGAATTCTTAGGATTTAAATATGAAAATGGCATGGTTGGATTCAGTGGCGAGCTAATACTAAAGGTAGATTTGTAATTTAAAAAAAGATAAAAACCAAATATTTATGTAAGTATTTCAAAACAAATTTAATTTTCCATTTTGCCCTTATGACGTCATGTAAGAACTCGAATGGATTCGAATAAATTCGTCTGAGTTGTTCGTGTACTCATTTACTCGATTCGTTTTCCATCACCATTTCTGGTTCGACTGAGTTTTACGTCAGTACACTTATTTATTCAAGCCAGTTTCCCTACACATTCCAACTCATTCAACTCATTTTGAACATTGTCAATTCGAATATGTATTTTTTGTTATTCATGCAGATGTCTATTTTGGTTTGAATTTCAAACCAAATATCAATTCAATATGTTTAAAATTAGAATTTATGCCAAAAGAAAACGGTAAAAAAAAACCATAGTGCATTGATAGATTTGGTTTAGTTTAAAGTTGGATTACTAAACATAACGGCCTTTTGAAAAATCAAAAACGACTTTAACAACCGCCCATTTGCTATTTGGGAAATGCTAAAAGCTATGAAACTCCGCTGATGGCAGCTCCACAGCGTTGCCATACTAATAGAAATAGGATGGTTATGGTTCCACGACATATCGATATTTCTTTTTTCTAAAAATCGACGTTTTTCCTGATTTAAAAGTATTAAAATTATAAACTTTAAAACCCCCTTTTTATTTATTATTTTCCCTTTTCTTAATTTTAATTGTTGTAGTACGTAATTTTTGGTCGCAAAAAGTATAAAAATCTATCGATGTTGACATATTTTGTGAATAAAAATATCGATATATTTGTATTTTTATATTTCACATCTCTGAAAAGCAACGCGTTCCGCAAAATCTGCAATAAACAATAACAATGGTTAGAAATAAGGGCGATTTTAAAAGGATTTAAGTATTAACTTTGATGTTTTATTAACTCCCCAAGCTCTTCTACTCGTTCTTCAAGTCGCTGGTGGGCAAAGAAGTTGTCGTGGAACTGAAAAACGACCTCAGGTGAGCACCGTTCGTTCGCCACATTGCCGGTAAAATGCTCAACTAACCAATTTTATTAATTCTGTATTATTTTTATATAGTATATGTGGCACCCTGCACTCGGTGGACCAGTATCTCAACATCAAGCTGACGGACATCAGTGTTACGGATCCGGACAAGTACCCCCATATGTTGAGCGTTAAGAACTGCTTCATCCGGGGCTCCGTGGTGCGCTACGTGCAGCTGCCGGGCGATGAAGTGGACACCCAGTTGCTACAGGATGCGGCAAGGAAAGAGGCTGTTGTGAGCACGAGATAAGGATACCCCTAACCAGAACCAGTACCCATTGTACACCAGGATCTACCCATAGTTCCGTAATCTGCACTAAAAACTAAGTGAAATTCTGTTAAAGCAAATAACCAATAAGAGGAATCCCCGTAAGAAGTCGCTGCGTTATTTACGGTCCATCGGTTTTTGATGAGTCAGTCTTGAGGTTTTCGGGGCTGCTCCTCCTCCTTATATTCCCTATGTCTCTGCTTTTATCGCTCCACGCTTGAATGGAGCATGTGGATTGTAGGCCAACATTGCGTCATGTTGATAATGGTCCATAAATTTGTATAATTGCTGTAACGATGTCCTGATGTCTTGTGTCTTGTCTACACATCACCAGTTAGATACTTACACGGCCTGCAAAATGGGATGTATTATTTGAGTATGTGTACTTGCCGCCCGTTTTACGATTGCTATTATTGCCCGACCGTCGAATTCAACCTTTTATCCCCAATAAAACGGAGGAGCCTGGCGGAATGCTTTTAATTTCTGGACCTCGACCCGCTCGTTAAGTGCCGCCCTCGCCTTCCATCGAATTGCTTTGTTGGCAGGAATGCGTGCTTAAAATGAAATACGCATTCGTGGAACACTTTTGCCCGGCATTTACATTTCGGAATTGCCCGGTCTCGCGCTCTAAACTTTGGCAGTTGGTCAGCGGAACCTCACGTAAAATCAAGCAATCAAAAGTTGAAGAGGTACAGGGAGAGAAAATAATCACAACTGGTAATATAATTCATCTTTCAATTGAAAATTTTATACAATTTTTTACAGATATAAAGTCATTTCTTACATCTCAAACATTTTCTGAAACCTTATTATCAGCTTCAAGATTCCTAAAATCTTTTAAAATGAGATCCATAGAAATTCAATTATTCTGAAATGTATTAAATGTTAACTTTTTGTAGTTGTAGATTACAGATTTTAAGTATTCATACGGTTTAAATGTCCAAGTTCTTTCTATTCTAATACCAACCAACAAAAGGAAGTGTTAGTTTTGAAATAACTTCGTTAAAACTGATAACGAATTCCAATTTAAATCATGGTTGGCCCAAGAAAATTAAAAAACCTTATTATCAGCTTTAAGATTCCTAAAATCTTTTAAAATGAGATCCAAAGAAATTCAATTATTATTTTTCACCTTTGTTAAACTTTAACTTTAACTTTAATTTATTCTATACGGTTTAAATCTCCAAGCTCTTTCTATTCTAATACCAAGCAACAAAAGAAAGTGTTAGTTCTGAAATAACTTTGTTAAAACTGATAACGAATTCCAATTTAAATCATGCTTGGTCCATGGAAATTTAAAATTTCCTAGACTTTGTTATGACCCCAACGATTATTTGGTCAGTGTGGGGGAAGCGCCGAGTTCGTCTGCCTGCGCATAATTGAAGGGGGAGTTTCGGCGGTGGGGAGGGTCAATCGCCACCCCCAGCGGAGTCCATCTTTCATTATTTGCGGTAATTGGGTTCCTGTTTCCGGCGCAGCTTCTAAATTCAGACTTCGAGTCGCATTTTCGGCGCATTGTTTGCCGGCTCGCAAAAATTGTTTTGCATTTGGCCCCGGAAAACTTTTCTAGGAGAGTGGGTCTCTGTAATTTTGGGTGGACGGGGGGATGGGTCCCCGGCCATGGCCTATCGCGATGGGCGACCTCCGCCTGTGCCGCCCATAAAATTTTGTAATATACCCGTGCTCGGGGTGGACGTGAGCCCCGCAGGATTTATGGGAGCATCCAGATCCATCCAGCTAGTTCATCAACGTGTTGAGCTGTGCGTGGCGTGGCTGGGCGCGTAAAAGTTGGCTCGTAAAGTTTCGCAAGGATCATTCGGGTTTTATTAAAAAATAAACTATACAAATTTGACACAGATTATTTATACATAAGTACGCAGCGAAGTGCGGAGCACATGAATATGCAAACGGGATGTGGGATAGATGGAAGTTTAACCGTCCCGTCGAAGGATTCGCATAATGCAGTGGCTTCCTTTAATGACATATGTGTGTACGCAGGGTCCCTCGGAATCGCCAGCAGCATCCGTTGGCCACCGGGGACCTTTCGGCCAAATTGAATTATGGTGTTCAGTGTGATTCGTTTAAAGTAACTCCGGCGGTCCTCGGCGCGCATTGATACTTTTAGTTGGTCGTAAATTATGGTTTCCTTTTGGGAGAGTGCCATTTACAAGGGAAAAATACGATTCTGAGTGAAGCGACCTTGGAGGCTTTGTAACGAAAATCAACAGAAACTAATCGTAACACAGGAAATTATAAAATATGATCATGACTTTGGATACAGTTGGTAAGTTTCTTAAAAGAATGGGCAATCTTAAGTTTACGATTAGTTTTCTGAACATGAACTCATTTTTATTATATTATTTTTATTACAATAGTTTTAACATGGTTTTAAGTATTATGTTTGTAGATGTGGTAACCACAATTTCTTTCAAAAATAATGCGATTTATTTATTTACAATTGTTATTTACCCTGTTTTTGGCTGTTTATATTTCACTCAATTAGGAAATTGATTTCTTGATTTACTTAGTTGGGAAAACAAAATGGAAAACTGACATTTGTTTTTAATTAACTTTACAATGTTGCCCTGCCATCGAGAGGAACTCATTTGGGGTCATATATATTTATTAACCAATTAAAAAGTTTAAGCTGAATTGATGATTGAACTGACACTGATTGCACTTTGATTATAATTGTAATTATTATAGGTTATCAACTTGCACAGAAAACAATTTGTGCGACGTTAAAAAAATATAACATTTAAAATTTCACAACCGGATTTTACTTTCAACAAATTTACATGTTAATACTTAAATGAGATTTATTTAAAAAAATATCTTTTTATAGAAATGTGCTAAATGAACAGTTTCTAAAGTGACTTAAGCTTAAAGAATATTAAAAAAAGTGCTTTTGAAAAATCAGATATAAAAAAGGTGAAATATTTCGAGTGTTATTTAGCTGACCTTGAGTTTCTCCCAGTGCCGGGCAACCGTTCCATACGGACTAGCTCTAATCCTACGCTACTCCTAAGCACACCCATTGTGTTTAAAGACTTAACTCTCGATTAGCAATATCTAAGCACAAGTTGCACGCCCCGGTGATTCGATCGCCGACGCCTCCCCATTCCATTCCGATTCCGATTCCTCGCCGCTGGGATCAAATCCTCTGGCAGGGCAGTCGCCTCTCACTGCACTGGAAGCTCTTGGAGTTCTAGCTGCCGTCGCACCAGCTCCCTGCTCAGGCAATGGCAGCAGGAGCAGGCATCCGTATCCGCTGTTGTAACCGCTGCATCCGTCGCCGTCGCCGCCGCCATCGCCAGCTGCTCTCACACGCTGGACACCCGCTCGTTGTTGTCCATCAGCCCGCTGGCCACGCCCACGCCCACTCCGCCCCTTTGGCTGTCGTAGCTGAGGACCAGGGTCGAGGGCTTCTCCTGCAGCAGGAGCCTTTGCTGCTGCTCCTGTTCCCTCAGGCAGCTGGGATGACGGGTCGCCAGGAGGGCGGATCCCTTCCGCAGCAGCTGCGGCGTGGCATTGCTGGACACGGAGCCACCCGAGGGACCCGTGCCGGGACCCACGTGCAGCAGACCCACCTGCTCCTTGAACGCCTGAGCACCGCCTCCGCCCGGTCCGGCGGAGGATCCACCTGTGCCGTTGCTGGAGCTGCGGTAGTAGCTCTGCTGGCGGAAGGCGCGCATCTGGCGGGAACTGCCACCTGTGCCGTCCACCTGCGTCACCGCCGTCAGCATGGAGGGAGTGCGCTGCGAGTCGCCCCTAAGGATGGGAGGTGGGCGGGGGAATGGACGATGAGGTAAGGTGATAAAAGCCAGACGGAAAAAATTTATCAGTTCATTGCCAATCAGTTTTTTGAGGTACTCTTTGCGGTATCAAAACAATCAAGGAAGTGTGAAAAAATCATGCCAGTCTATAACAATATTAGATCGGGTAAAGTAAAGCCATACAGATAATAATAAAATCCAAAAGGAAAATAAATATTAAAGAGAAAACCGAATTACTTGAGTAGTATTTTGAAGTAATAACTTTTTGTTAGAGATAGAAAATAGATGGAAAAAAATAAATATTGATAAAATATTACGATATTTAACTTATAAACTTTTTTTTTATTTCTAATTTTTGAGTTCTAAACAAAAGCTCGTTTAAACGACTTATAAGAATAATGCCTTTGCGCAAAGTAACTATTTTGATACAAAAAAAGGTCAAAATTAAATACATAATTTGTCGTTAATATTATTTATCTACGTCCGGCTTGTGCACTCACCTGTTCAGGCTGTAGGCGTTGTTGTTGCCGCCGCCCCCGCTCGACTTGCCTCCCTTGCCAGGACACAAGTGAAAGGCTCCGTAGATGAGCGGGTTGACCAGGCTGTTGGACATGCCGAAGAAGAAGATGGCGTCCTGCAGATCGTCGCCCAGCTGCAAGCAATGCGTAAAATTCAAATTAATTTCCCCATTCAGACCTTTTTGTCTGGAGCTTGTTTATGTTTGAGTGGGCATATTGTGGGCTTTTTGCGGTCGGATTGAGTCCTCGTTGCCTCTGGATACCCTGTGGTCAAAGGTGCTTCTCCTGAAGCAGCTTAAATAAATCATTTCTGCACCCTGGCTTTCATGATGTTAAGCCAACTCTTTTCACATGAAGTACGTATGCATAAATATGTAAAAGGAAATTTCTACGAAACTGACCAGCTATTTTAAGGTTTGCATTTATACAATTGTGTGTTTAGGTCAGAAGTCAGTCATTTAAAGTGATTCAAATGAATATTGTAGCCACTGTGTATGCGGTATGCAAGCTAAACTTATTTGCTTTAAATTTTTTAGTAAAAACTACCTACCAAATCTGTGACGCTCAAAATATCTATTATTCTTCAATTGAATGAATTTTATTGAATCTAATATTTTTTAAAGGTCAGGATTGATCAGATATTAATCTTAACTTAAATTTTTGTTTAAAAACATAAACAATTGAAAGCTATACAATTACCATATTCATAATTTTTATGAAACAACTGCACAAAATATCTAACTGATATGTTTGAATAATCGTATTCTTTATGATAAGGTAGAATTTTTTCTGTGTGAAAATAAGTATTCAACAAACCAATGAGCCTTAAAAATAGTTCTAAGACATTTATATTCACAAATTCTACACTTTTCTCAGAAAATGAAGTTTCCTGATTAATCATTTCCTTAAACTTTACAGGATACTCGGGCTGCGCAAACGGACACGGTGTTCTGTTTGCGATTCCCTCTCGCGGAGGCCGTAATCTTCTACCTCGGCCAGCTTTTACGGGCAATCTCTGGCAAGTCATCAAAGCTGGGACGCCGTTAAGGAAAAATTGCGACCGGCCGGTCGGGTGCCGTAACGATTAATTAAAAATTGAGCATAAGAAATCATTTTTATGTGCGTGGGGCCGTTGAAAGGCGCGGAAAAGATTGTGGCCCTAAACGGATTTGCCATCTGCGACTAAGCCGTCTCGAGTTCGAGTTTGAGGCAGAGTTCTCGTTCCCGGCTTCTTGTTTCTTTCAACAGAAAAGAACAGAGCCCGCCCCCGGAGCCGTGAATATTGGACAGAACAACAAAGGATTCAGTAAGGAAAACACCGCACCCACAGCCTTTCCAAAATAAACTGACAAATCGACTGCTGATTGATGTTCCTTCGCATTTAGGCGTGCCAGAGAATCTCTATCTGTTTGTCATTCAGGTTCGCCGGAAATTTCAGGCCAACGGAAAGAAACCCCTTGGAACTCACCCTTTTGTCCGGATTGAGGAACATGAACATAATCATCATGACGTAGTAGGGAGTCCAGCAGATGAGGAAGGCTATGATGATCACCACCGAAATGCGAAGCGACTTCATCTTGGCCTTGTGTATCAGCCGCTGGCGATTCGTCTGCGTTGGCAGCTTGGCCGTGGAATAGTTGGCCAATTTCGAACCCTGGAACATCTTTTCGCTGCCTATTGGGAATGCAGGGAAATTGAATTGAAGTCCTCTTTTTTCCTTTTTTTTTACCAGCAAAAAACTCACTTGAAATGGTCCGGAAGGTGGACATGTAGGTGCCGAACAGGATGCACAGCGGCAGCAGGAAGGTGAAGACCAGCGTGAAAGTGGCGTACATCTGCTCCTGCCAGTCTGCCGTGTAGAATCCGTGGGTGACGCACTGGTAAAACTCCTCCACGAAGGGACCACGGGCCACGTGGAATATGAAAAACTGTAGCACAATCCGGCGACATCAAAGAGAGCAGCGTAGGAGGAAAAAAATATCAGAGGTCAGATGTTTATTGCTAAGTTATTACAGACTTAAAACTAATAAAATGGTAGCTAAGAAACTTTTTTATACTAATTTTACGTACAATTAATTAATTAATTAAAAATCAATGCTTTAATATATATTTTGTAAATCAATTTTAGGATATTTTTTTTAAGTAAAATGAAAGAAATTTAGTAAAAAGTTTGTTACTTTTTTCCATTTACTTACATTAATGATTGTATGTCAATAATATAAATAAATTCGTTAGAAAGCAAAAAACTATAATTTTAAAATGTTTGCTAAAGTTTTCTGAGTTAAAAAAGTAGGTTTTAAAAACTTTATTTTAAAGCCTTCATTTAGTTTTGCTTAAGCACCTAAAAATGGTCCTATCCAAAATATAAATACCATTAAATGTCAAATAAATAGATTTTATCTAGTGATGTAAAGCGTCTCCAAATGTGTTCCCTGGCAAATAATAATCACATTTGCGGCTGCACTAAACAGTACCGTAAATACAGAACTGTTTTCATGGAAATCCACATGTGGCCCATGGTAACAAATTGCTGACACAAAATGGTTCTTTGATCTGGTCCACATTGGAACGGGAACGAGGTCCTTGGTTATGAGTTAAAGCCCTTTTAGTTGCTGTTCCTGCATCGCTCTGAATACGACGGTAATTGAGGGACATTTTCGGGAACTGTATTCAGTTTGCCATTGTTCGAGCTTCCTATTCCTGCGCTCAGTTCACCAGAAAGGCATTTTATACCTTTCTAGGAAGCAGAAGTATATCCCCCAGGAAAATCCCCTTGGAAAATGTCTGGCCAGAGCTGATAAAGCAAACGTAGCGTTTTATATTCGCTAAGGATGGATGTGTCGGCGCATAACTAATACGCTGAAAGTCTTTTTATTTGCACTTTTTATGGGTTTCTTGTCAGCCGCTGTGTCAACAGAACAGCTGACCCAAATGGCGAAACTCGCCACGCACAACTGAGCGGCATAGTAAAACTACATAAAGCCCCGGGGATGTAATGGTTGATTTTTATTATTTTCGCACATTTATAACTTCCAATCCACTGCCCTCGCCAAAACAGACGACAAGGAATAGGGAAAGTCTCGAATGGCCAGCGAATTTATAGATTATAGATCGATGTAGGTCAGGGCCACGCAAAAGGAAGAAAAATAAAGATAATTGTGGCCCTCCATTTGGTCCTTTCAAACACTCAAACATTTATTTCCTAAAATGCACGAACTTATTTCCAAAATAAACTTGTTCCAAGTGTTTCTATGTTTGGTTTTCATTAAAAATTTCCGGGAAAGCTAAAAGGGCGCTCCCCATTGGAACAATGCCTCAGATGCCTCAAGCACTATTTGCACCAAATTTGCAAGTTGCACCGAAAACTTTTCCCAAAGACCTCCTGGGTGCACAAATAAAATGTGATTGAATAATGCATTATTTAAAACTTTCTGGTAAACACTTTAGAAACTTCCTTTCAGGCTCTATTATTACATTCTAGTTTAGGTTTCTTGTGTTCAAATATATAGATCTAGTTATCTTAAACGAGTGTTAAATACATTTATAAATTTATAAAGCAGAAAGGAATTTATTTGCTGATAACTAATAACAACTAAGGTTTAGTCAGAGTACCTTGAACCCAATTGACTATCTGAAGGCTTTTGAAACCGAAAAGCTAAATGGTAATTTACCAAAGGCACTTGGACTCATGGGATAAGTCCCTGTTAAATGGAAATTGATTCTAGGAAAATTCGAATTACTCTCACCAGAAGGTGGAAATTTTGATGTGTTGTTTGCTACAATTAAATTCACAATAATACACTCCAGGAGACCTGCGAATAACCTTCTGTCTGACTCCATTATGTCGGTTGTGTCGCTGACTGTGTATTCACAATGGGTATTATTGTGTCACAAGGAAAGTCGCTTACTTTTCCGGGGGGCGATGGCAGCGGTGCCAAATAAATGCTGCTGTTGAAAACATTTGTTGTTTATTGGCAGTCGAAGTGAATTTTCATTTCGCTTTTTTATTTGAAACCAACGAGCGCTCATCGGTGCGTCTCATATTGGATTCGATGTGGCTGCTTACCGACATGTGTTGGGTGGTGCATGAGCGTGTGACATCGGAAAGTTTGTCCGGAAAATTGTTTGAGATGATTCCCTTATTTCTGGCCGGAACGCTTGGGCCGTCACGTCTGTAAGCCGCATAAATTTTATGTCGCATGTTCAATAAAACGAAATGAAGAAAGTTTCCCCGGGCGGCCATCTCGAGGGCGAAAAGTGGACCATAAAAATTGGCATAATGATTGCAAAGTTTTTTTTAATTGGGTGACAGTGGCTCTTTAATTATGTAACAATATCGAGGGGGCAGTCTAAAAATAGCTACGGCAATATCATAATAACTTTTGATGCCCGAATGAAATATTTACGACTAAACTGACAGTTTAACAAAGTCTGAGCCTATTTTAAAATTCCAGCCAATACATTATGTTCGCTTTATTATGGTTTGTCTCGACCAGAAGTCATCGTCATTGACCCCTCGACCCTCTTCAAAATCTGCCAAACAATCTGCTCGACAGTGAGTGGAAAGCAATGGAAAGGAAAGAAAGAAAAAAACATCGAAACGTAATTAGACTCGACATTTTTTGCGGCATTTAAACAAGTCACAGGGTTTTTTGACAAGCCAGCACGCACACGCTTTCACACCCCAAAACCCACACATATTTTGCGCAAAGTGTGCAAACATAATCTCGCCTCGATTTCGGCAGTACGCCGGTAATTATTGTTCCACGCCATATATAAATCAGATAAAAGCAAACAAGGCTCGCGGAAAATGCCGTCAGTTTGGTTAGCTCTCCTAATGAAATGCGTTAAATTACAGCATACATTTGAGCGTTGGGGAAGGGAAAGAAAACAAGAGAGAACGCTATAGTAGAGTACCTCGACTATAACATATATGGAGATATGCATCCATTAAAGCGACTGCTTGAATTTCATTATTTGCTAAAAACTTTTTAACGAATGGACTGACATTTTGATAAATATATAGATATTCATTCATACTTTTCCGAAATCTTTAAAAATATGGCCAACGCAATATACCTTTTTACTCTACAAGGGTACAAGTATACCCGTTACAAAATATGGGAGTTGCATAACGTGGGCAGGGAAATCCTCCGCTTACCCGGAAACTTTCCACAGCTTTTCTCTTTTTTCCTAAGAATACGAAACAGAATCGTCTATTTTGGGATCTCTAAGGTGAAGGATTTGCTAACCCAAAGGTCAAACCTTTGGGCCCACTTGATTTTATGGCCAGCCAACGCTTAAGACGAAATCCATGAAGAGGGTCACAAAGGAGCAGGGCAAAGTTTTCAGCCACTTTTCAATCAAACTAAATTAGTTCAGGCCCCTCTTGGCAACTTTGAAGTGACCTTTCGCACTAATTACCTACCTTAGTCGCAGCCTGAGAGCTCAAGTGCCCCGGGAAGTTGTCGCTGCGCCAAAGAGGAGGAGCAACAGTCGTTGGCACTCCGGCTAATATTAACTGAACTAGATAAATGAACGGGGCAGGAGCAAGAGCCTCACCCGGGGGCCATAAATCAAGGACAGGCCAGCGAATCAAGTATTAAATCGCGGCATATATTATACATACAGCAGACTGACAATCAATGTGCCGGAAATCTGGAGCCGAGTCCTAGAACAAAGCGAGGGATTCCCATTAATGCAGTCCCATTCGAGCTTATCCGCCAGCTGGCAGGGAAAAGGAAAAGGAATATATATCACCCAGCCTATCTGCACACAATGAATCGGGAATATGAATAATGTCTGTCGTCAGGCAGACACTTGCGGACCTTTTTTCCGTTTTTTTTTTGTTGTCGACGGTAACCCAAAGAAAAAACCCTTTGTTGCTATTCGATTGGCTGTCCCATCCGCCCCGGCACGTGTGTGTGGGCGTGGCAGCGGCCCAAAGCCTAAAGCCACATTTAGTGCACACTTATTGTGCGAAAGGCAATCATTTTTAATGTCTGCACACATTCTGGCGCCTACTCAAGACTATTTGCGCCCTGCCACGGGGCGTATGCGTGTTATAAAGTAAACATATTACTTCAACTTCATCAGAATGCGGCGGAAAAAGTAAAGTGGAGTGGGTGGGAGGTTTGCCGGCTAAGTCCCAGCTTTAACTTAGCGTAATGGAACGCCCTCCGAAAGCGATTGCAAGTGTGCCAGATTATTTTCATAAGCGTACCATCGCCCCCATCATCTCGAAACTTCCTTGACGCGGAATGCCTTCTTGGGAGTGCCTTTTCTCGGAAGGAGATCAGCTGCAGACGCTTTATATCTGGCCCTCGGGTAAATTTATTTTAAGGAAAATAATATTTTTAAATTATGCATTTACCGTTAGCAAACATTTTAAAATTTAAACCCATTAAAAACCTTTTTCAGAGTATAAAGTAAAACATCTTAATTTTATGTGCCTCCTTTTTTGAATTTTTTGTTTAAATCACGTATTGTTTTTAAATCTGCATAAATTGTCTAGAAGTCTTAAATTTATCTTTTTAAAATGAAAGTCTAAGAAAACTCCTATTTAATTGTCCATGCTAAAAAGTAAGTTAACTGTTCTTAGGATTAACTAGTTTAATTTTCTTTTTATCTGGCATTAGTTTATAATAATATTCATATTTACCATAAATTTATAATAATTTCTCTATGATGAATGTCAAAATATATATTTATTTTAAAATAAACATACTGTTCTACAAACTTTCTTAATTTTAACTTATCTGATAGATAATATCTATTTAATGTTCTTTATTTAAGATGACTGACTCCCCCACTTACCTGTGGCAAACTGAGCACCAACGACAGGATGTAGGTACCGCCGAGGAGTCGATGGCACCTCTTGGCCATGTTGAGCGACTTCATCGGGTACTTGACCGCGATCCAGCGATCCACTCCGATCAGCACCAGGACATAGGTGCTCAGGTAGAGGCTGAACATCTGGAAGAGCTTCACCAGCTTGCAGGTGAGCTCGTTGGCCAGCCACTGGACCGTGTAGCACCAGGCTGCCTCGCCAATGATGCAGAACCAGGTGACGAGGACGTCGGCAATTGACAGGTGGAACATCAGCGAATAAATGGCGCTCCACGTGTGCCGGGAGTTTCTTCTCGAGATGCGGGTTTTGTAGATGTTCCAGATGGTCAGCAGGTTGCCGAGCAGCGAGAAGAGTGCCATCACCGCGAGGACATAGACCTTGAGCAGCCCGGATCGGGACAACTGGGGGGCGTGGTCCATTACGTGCTCGGGCACCTGTTCCGCAATCGGAGGCGTCTCATGGCGACTGTTTGTGTGCGCCAGCGAGGAGCTGTTGGCGATGGCGTAGGCGGGCAGAGGTGTGGTGCCGGTGGTGCCAGCACTCAGATTCAGATTGGATATATCCGTGGCTAGGCCCACACCCAGGTCCATCATATTGAGCGTATAGTTGATGATTTCCGGACCTGCGCCGGTCACAAGACGTGTGAAGTTGGCCAACGATGACCAATTACTGGCCACATCGCTTTCCGCCTCTAAATCCATCGAGGGATTGGGAACGGTGGGCAGGCGACCGAAGGAGGCGGACCGGTTGTCCGAGCTCCATTCGGCCTCCATTTCGAGGAATATCTCCTTAATTGATTTATTTTCTTTGGGTTTGGACGGTGGTTTGGGTACAGATGATGGGAAATTTACATCTTGATTTGGTTAATCAAGGAATGACCTCATTTTTCCTTCAATTTTCATTCAATTATCAGCAACATGTAGCAACATGTAGCTTAAGATAGTTAAAACTGTAAGTATAACAAAAAATAAAGTAACATTAGTGAGCTTATAAAAAATCTGCTTCAAATTAAATACCAAAGAAATCGTATTAAGTCTGTACTTTACTATTTCTTTGAGTACAGTAATGGTAATTTAATATTTAAAGCTTTTCCGGCTGATAAGCTTCCGGTAGCCATAGAAACAAATATGTTGTTGCACATACAAAAGAACCTCGAATAAAATTAAAAATGCATTACTCCCCGCTATTCCCCAAAAATGTGTTTCCAGGTAAAACATTGTGTTCCTGCTTAAACAGAAAAGTACGCGCTTAATTGCTAATTAAAACAATGTTAAAATCAACTTATGCCGTGAAATCTGTTCTATAAAAGTTAGCTTTAAACCTACAAACGCATAACCAACCAACAAATTGTTTATGTCAAAGTCTTTCACTCAGCTGTCTTGTTTATTTAATTGGTTTCAATGGAAATATTGATTGTCTAGGTGCAATTCAGTGAACAATTTAGCAAGTCAGAATGATGGGAGAACGGATTCTGAAATTGAAAATCCTCTTAAAAATCCATTACGTATGGCAATTGGGCACGTGAGTGCTTTTATTCAGTTTAAAATTTTTAAAATGAATGCAAATTTAAACCGAAAGAACCATTAACCAGCTTAATGATGCATAAACATTTAAGAGAAAATTAGCGGAGTTTAAATGCTTAAAGAGCTTACTTTAAAATATATCACTTTCTCTGCAAAGTTGTGTTCATCGTTTTATGACTTGTATGCCCTTCAAGAAAACACTTAATAAGAAGAATTAAATTCCGCGAAGACACTCTTTAGATAATTCGGTTGCTAAGGCGTTCGGTTGACTTGTCTTTATATTGCAGCACTATAATGACGCCACCCCGAGCGGTAGCAATCCCATAATGGACAGACGCCGTCGTTGACCTGAGCAGTGGCTATTGCAATTACCCGGCAGCAATTACTCGCCTTGAGTATTTGCGATTAAAAAAAGTTCGCTGCAGCGAGCGCAATTTAATTTTAATAGATACACCGATGTTTACAGTGTCGCCTTCGCTTTGGAACTCTAAAACTCGACTTTGCCCATGCTGCCCGGCTCGTTCTGCAGTGTAGGTTCAAAGTAAAATTCCATAAAATTTCATTTTCCAAATTAATTTATGTTCATAAATTAAATTGGACGCTTGGTTTGCCTTTTGTTATTCCCTACATCCCGTTTCCCTCGCCAATGGGAAAGCAATAGACCCAATTTAGCGGAACGCGTGTCCGAAATACATGCTTTCAAATCGAAACAAAGCAAATTTCCGCTCCGTAGAGGCGCAGATCAATTGAAATAAATATGGCAATATGATATGCACGATTTTAATTGGACCCGTGTAGCATGTACATGTAGCGAAGCCATCATGTTGGCAGCAAATAGCCTTTCATCGCTAATTACCCGTGTGCAATCTGGGCACTCGATTAAACCAGATTAATAGCTCATGACCTGCGCCGCTCGGTGACACTAAAGCAATTTGTATTTCATTGCCCCTGCCCGCATCTTAAAGTGAAATTCCCACCCCGCTCGTCACCCTCGCAGGCCGTTTAATCAACGCGATTAATACACAAATGCGCATTTGATTGATCAGCAGCCGAGGCTGCCGAAAAAGTAGCGAAAAGCACATCTGTGCCATTTCCGTGGGTTCTGGGATATGGATTATAATCCCCGAGGCGGCGACAGATGAGCAGTCGGGAACTTGGGGCGAAAACTTTTTAGCCAATTCTTTGCAGCGCTTTTGATTGATTTGCATTCCCGCAGTAAAAATCACAGCCCCAAAAAAAGTAATCCCTGTCTAAAAAGTCTAGACGATAGCATCTTTGGTTTGAATCGACTTAATTGTTTCTGCCAAAGTGAAGACTTCTTTGTCCACAAATTGCAATGACATGAATCAATCAATGTATGGAAAAACCTTATAAACTAATAAAAAAAACTCGTGATATTAATAAGGCAGTTAAAACATTTCTTTATCGCTCTTACGCACAGAAATGCATTTTTAATATTTTTTCAGAACATTTTTAAAGAAGAGAAAAATACAACTCAAATATTTATCTTACAATATTCAATGTTACAATATAAAATCTTTATTGTAACGGACATCCTATAAACAATAAGCTAAGGCTGGGTGTTACGGACGGGTCAGAGCGCACGCAAAAATGTCAATCGGCTTTGGCTCGTCGGCTAATGGGGTGGATCTTTGCTTTAACCCGTCATTGCCTCTTCGATTATTATCAAAACTCAGATTGCGTGCAAAGACAAACCAAACTAAGGCCGGGGAGAGAAAACACTACTAACACTCGGGCTATTGTCGGGCGTAAGGCCCCCTACATCTGTGATCGAGCCTACCGCTTTTCCACCTCAGCTGTTAATGAGGCGGCATTCAGCCCACCCTTCCATTGGCCGTTCCCTTACCATTTTCCTTTTTTTTGAACGGCCCCTACGCGGTTACGGCTTCACGGGGGTCTCATGTCCGCCGAGGACAAACACACAAATTTACCACATTATAAACATCTTTTATTAACTAACAAATTAAAATACTAGACAAATCAATCTTGCTGAAAACCCTAACCGAGACTAACATGAAGTACAAGGAATAATATAAAAATAATATATAGGTATAAATATCATAAGAAAATGAATGGCGATAATATATAATAAATAGCATAAATATAATAAATATAATAGATAATTCTTATAAATAGAGAAGGGCGCAATAAATAGATTTTAAAATATATACAAAAAAAAACGGCATGCCAATTAGGTTTGCATTTACTTTAAATTTTAAAAGAAAAACAAAGATAAGTGCCTTTTCATGGTGCGATTTTTCAACTTTTAATTACGTTACGTTACGTTGACATGTAACCGTTCCCACTGGCCTACGAAATCAAAACATGAGTGCCAACGCAAAACCATTTACGATATTGCCGTTGAGTGCGTTTAGGCTGAGCAAATCTACGGTATTGGCACCAAATTTCGCGATTGTCTTTACTTTCTCATTCTTATGCCATTACGTAATGCAAATTAAATTAAATGAATTTTTTAGGTTTTACCACATTATGAAATTTAGAAAATTTGAAATTGCCGTTTATCACCCAAAAATTATATTTTTATATTTTTTTAAACGCTCACCAATTTTTCCAGATGCATCCCCGAAGAAAGCGCTTTTTTCGAAGACGGCTGAAAATGCTGCGAAATGAGAAAAAGGTATTTTTTTTTGAGGGACACAGGGGCTTTCACTTTTTCATTTTCAAATTTTCCTTTTCAATTTTTTTCCAGGGGGTAAGTGGCCATACGATTTTTTCCTTTAACCTTTGATTTTTTTTTTCTCTTGTTTCACGAAAGAGGGAACACAATGCCGGAGTTTTGGCAGCACAAAAATACACTTTAAAATAACATAAAAAAAGAATTTACTTAGGATTAATAACTAAGAAAAACTATTCTATTCTGACATCTTTTTTTTCCAAATTACTCTTATTACTTCTTTCTTTTCTTCTTTCTTCTTTACGGGAAATGAAATGTTAGGTTAAATGGCGTTTTTCGCCTGGATTTTCGCCATGGGTTTTCACCTCCTCCTAGGCCACATTTTAATGGGGTTTCTTCACAATACTTTCACCAGCTTTAAACGGAGTCGGGGACTGGGTAAATTTAAACCCTCACGCTAGACATTTGGTAACTTTTTCGCACTTTCCCTCCCGCGATTGTCTCGTGGTTCCGCGCCGAGCGTACGTTTCGTAGTAACTGGTCGCCCTCTCCGATGATGATTTGACTCCAATGAGAACTTCTGGCTCAGCTGCTTGCCGTTTTAAGTGTTCCCGCCGGTTGAATATCGTATTCTGGTCTTTGATCGCCGAGCCTATAAATCAACCAAAGCGCTGCTGATCGGACCCGTTGATTTTCTTTTATTTGTTTAAAACTCACCCCCAATAATAGGACTCGGCCAAAATTATTAAATTTGGTTGCCTTTTCCCTTTGACAATCTTCCAGATAGGTTAGATCAATAGTTGAAACACTGACTTTGCCGATTCACCTCTTGATCGGTGGAAGGTTTAAATAGAAAAGAACGCTGATGCCGCTTGCCGCTGGCGGCAAGCCCCTTAACAGCCAAAATGGCAAACGCTCTCAGCAGATCTCAACTGACATTTCGCCCTGTTGACCTATTGCGCTTTCTCTTACCCCTAACCCCAGTTCGGCAACCACCCCACAGATGACGCCAGCAACGATCCGTTCCCACTTGACTACCAGCGCTACATTATATAAATAATAAATTGCATTGAAAAAAGTCTTATTGAATATAAGCCTTTTTTATCAGTGTACTGGATTTTACTGCACTTTCAGTGCTTGCAAATTCTTGAAAAGCCATTGTATTTTTCCGCAAGGATTTCCATTTTACTTACGCAGGAAAGCCATAAAAATAAACGCTGCATATATCAATGCCGAAAAATAAAAGCAAACATGTAAAAGAGAATCGGTGTGCAATTTCAATATTTGCATTTTGATCAGGGCGAAAATTATGGAAACACTACTGTGTGATGTGCTAAATTAAATCAATTAAATCATTCGCATTCGCATTTTCATCTTGTTGCTATTCAAGGACGATGCTGAAAATAACGAAATGTATTTGAATTTCACTACTTATTTTTGGGTTAATTGTCCAAAGTTTGGCTCCCGGGCAAACTTATTGCCAGTGAAAGCATTTTAGTTGAGCCGCTTTTACAGTTAATTTTTTCCGAGTTGCTATTTTTTTTCGCAAACTTTGCCCATTGAGATTGGATTAATTCCTGAAGCAGTTTTCTGTTATTCTTACGGCGCTACTTTGTAATTACTTGGCGAGTTCATAAACTGGCCAACGGACCAGCGCAGACAATTCCTCACTCCCGATCCGCAGTTGAATTCTAAGGGAAAATTCCGAGGGCTATGGCCATTAACGATATATACAGTACAGTGTCCCAAAAGTTTTCACG